GACAAAGTACCCATTTGAATCTTTTGTGGAATTTTTCAAGCAGCCAGAAATATTATTCCTTGTCTTTGGAAAACATAGTTTGCCCTGCTGGCCCCACCCCCAGGGGCTCACTGAGATGGCGACTGAGATGGTGTGGTGTCATGCGCACCTGTAATCTCACCTCTTGCGAGGCTGTAAACAGATCCCTATGAGTTCGATCTAGTAGTGAGACCCTGAACACCCTCTAGACCCTTCCCTAAAAAAAAAAAAAAAAAAAAAAAAAGAAAAGAAAAAAGAAAATGTAGAGTTAACAACAAACAAGAAATAAGAAATCTATACTAATATGAAAGTTATGGAAACTGACTTGAAGGACCAGCAATGACAGATTTTCAGCTAAAATATCTGAATGTTTGTGTAAGAAGTTAGCGTACTGTAAGAGTGCACATATACCTTCTGTATAAAGCAAAATGAGTGGCAAAAATATGAGATTCCATTTATACGAAAAGCTCTCTTAAACTTCCAGGAAAATGACCATTTTCTATATTGTAAATAGCACTGCAATACCATAAGGTATGTACTATTTTAAATAAATGGTAAAAAAAAAAAGTGAAAGAAATTGTGGAACTTATGGAATGAATAATTAAATGTTACATATTAAACTGAGTAGGAATCTGTCCATTTCTTCTGTGTCTTCTATTCTGTGAAAGTAAAGATTCTCAAATTAGCTATTGATGAACTTCTGAAATTCCACTGGGTCTGTGATAATTTCACCCTTTTCATTCTTTATTGCTTGTATTTGAATTTTTTTTTCCCTCCTCTTTTTGATGAGGTTAGCTAGGGGTTTATCAATTTTATTTAATCTTTCAAAGAACCAGGTTTTTGATTCATTCTTTGAATTGTTTTCTTCATCTTGATTGAATTAATTTCTGCTCTAATTTTTATAATTACCTCTCATTTTTGGGCTTTAGGTTTGGTTTGCTCTTCCTTTTCTAGACATTTAAGTTGCAGCATTAGGGTATTTGTTCCCATTCTGTTTTCCTAATGTGTCAGTAGGAAATCCTTTGAAAATAAGCTCTCCCACCATTTAAAAATGTATAAAGGAAAAGCAATGATATATTTGAATACATGAAAGTAAAGTCTCATCATACCTAAGAAGATCACTGGGAAAAGAAAGTGTGTATGTACATATACACATATGGACATATATGTGTGTATCTATATATCATATTTTACATATATTGCATTATGACATATATTATGTATGTATACTACATATATACATGTATGTTGTATGTCATCATAAAAACAACAGACAAATTAACAATTAATTGGCAAAAGACACACATGCACAAAGCCAACAGATGATTTAGGAAGTTTTTTAGTGACAACAGTGATACAGTAATATGTCATACCTGGAACCACAGCCACTGGGAAGGCTGAGATAGAGCAATTCTAAGTTAGAAGCAAGCCTTGTGACACAGCAAATCTTGTTTCCAAAAGACAAGACAAACAAAATAAGAACAAAGAATTGCATGCTTTATTACTATGGCCATAATTTGCCTTCAATCAAGTTAAAACAACAAAGGTATACTACCTTTTCTTGACACTCTGAGCAGATTAGAAACACAAGATAATGTCTGAGAGCAAAAGATATGATGGAAATCTGTATCCTTCACAAATTATTTTTTTAATCTTAAAACTACTGTTAAAAATTGAGTCTATTTAAAAATACGATAATTAATTCACAGGAATTGGGCTTTTTCACACACTGCTATGGAAGTAAAAACTGTGCATACTTCTTGAAGAGGTTATCAACTTGCCCAATTTGGGGGCTTTTACTTTTAGCAATTTACCCTAAGTAAATCATCATGATTGATTTCTCTGTAGAATGTCACTTAAAGCACACATCTTCAGCAATGAAAGTCATCATGTAAATTATTCAAAGAATATAAATTATTGGGCCAGGGAGATAGTTCGGAAGTCTAAGAGTCTGCCTTGCAAGGACTGGGGTTTGATCTCCAGTACTGCATGCCATGCAGGCCCTGTGCCATGCCAGCCATGGAAACTGGGTGTAGTTGCACATGCCTGTAATCTCAGCACTGGGGAGGCTGAGACAGGAGGCGCACTATGAATCTAAGCTGCGTAGTGAGATCCTTGCCAAATAAATAAATCTTTCTAAAAAGAATAATTCTTATTAAAACTGTAAATGAACATACAAATTAATATTAAAATTCTTAAAAATATTTTAAATGGAATCAAACCAAATTACAGGGATGCGGATGTAGCGCAGTGGTAGAGAGCTTGCTTTGTATGCAGAACACCCTGGCTTCAATTCCTAGCATTGCAAAGAAAAAATGAACAAACTAATGACAACCAGAAAAAACCAGTTCCAAAACCTTACAAAATAATAGCATTTTGCTATTTAAAAAAGAGTCTCTCTTGAATGATTAAAATAAGGAGCTTTTAAACTTGATTTGTTATCTAAATTTTTTATCATATACTTTATACATTTAAACATATACACGGGGCTTGCCCCTTAGCTCAGTTGTTTAAGCAGCTGCTTCAACAAAGCAGACAGGCTCAGGTTGCCTTGGTTCAATCCCCACAACTCCAGCCAGCCAAACATGCCCTGAAGGCATTCTGAGCCAGCCCCCCCTCAAAAAAAAAATCCTTCTGCCATTTTGGGGCCGGGGAAATGGCTTGGTAGAATAAGCGCTTGCCTGGCAAGCACAAGGGCCTGAGTTCAAAACCCCGGTTCCACCAAAAAAAAAAAAAAAAAAACATATATACACATGTATATATACATGTTTCCCCTATGCCATTTGTATACTTAAAAAATTTCTCCTTTAGTATCTTTAACACCAATCTATCTTCTTCAGAAAATAGTATTAACCTGTAATAATTACTGATAACTATGAATTTTCATAAAATAATCCTGGAAAGACCTATTTTATAGTGGGTGCAGTTAGGATGTGACGGGGGGAAGAATGTTTGTGCTATACCAGGCCACCACAGAGCCAGGGCTTGGACCCTGAACTTCAAGACTGATGGGGAGAAAGTTACAAAAGCTTACCTTGTCCACTCTTCAGCTAATATGTGTGTTGGTCGGCAACATCTTTTTCCAGAATTCTAGAACTAATTCTAAAATGAAGACCTAGGTGTAAAATAAGAATAGGAGACAATGCAAACCTTGCCCTTGAGGGTGTGTTGAGAGTGTGCGGCATTACAGAATTGCCTCTGACAATCTAACCCAGCTTCAGCACACAACCAAGCAGTCAGGAAGAACCATGAATCCCCGACTTGTGCTGCCAAACACCACGGGACTGAGTCCATGACGGTGATCAGAGAGGCCGAAGTAGGGGAGGTAAGGACAGCTCCCCTGTGCAGAACCTGCCATGACTAGAGATGAGCAGGTAGGCCTAGTGAATGTAAGGTGAAGCAGCTCAAAGTTTTCTAAATCAGCTACAGGAAAAAGCTCTTGATGCCCCAAACCTAAACTAATTCAACCTTGTGGAAGAGAAAACCTAAAGATAATTGTCTGTGAAAGATCAGGGTGATTGCAGAGAGAAGAGGTAGAATGTTTGATAAAGGTGAGATTTTCAGGATATGGTGAAATCATACAAAAGAAAAAGTCTCAGGATCAATGCGTTGCTCACAGAAGCAAATCCTGCTTCTCTAGATTATTTATTCCAGAAACATGCCTAGGTGTCTCTTGACTCCCCCTGCTCAGAATTTATCCCATATGTTAATTATTGTTCACAAAATGCTCTGTCCAGCACACAGAGGAGACGGAACCTCCTCCCCTCTTGTGCTGCCTCTGGCCAACTTTCAGAGACCTTGGACCCCTCAGGCTCCTCGAGCCTGCCCTGCCCAGCCAGCTGAGAATGCTCCTCACCCCTCTGAAAACCCACGGCAAGGGCTCAGAGCATCTCAGTCCATAATAATGGTAACAACCAATTACCATTATCCAGACTGCCATTTGCATTGAAGCTGGAGGAGTTCTATGAAAATCGTTTGTGTGCTATTTTGTTTCCCTTAGGAATTAGTTCTTCATGAGCAACACAGTCTGCCACACAGAGCAGAGAGGTGATTATTATGTTCGTCTTACAGAAATCAGCCACTTCCAACTATTCTCGTTCTCTGAGTTTCCAACACTCAAGTGTGGGAAACCTTCACACTTTCCTGCATGTATGTACATATTTGTATGTAAAATTTAATAAAAATAGAAATCTTATATAAGTAGATAAACGTAACATTATTTTGTGATTTTTTTCTTATCTTCTGTGTAATTGAAGAGTGTTTTGTCTGACTATCTGGTAGTCTACTACTTCTTTCTGAATTTGTTTCCCTACAGTTAAAGAATATTTCCTGTATAGTTTTAATTTGCTTGGGATTACCGACCCTTGTTTCATAGCCTAGAATATAGTCTAACTTGTAAATGTTTCATGTCCATTTAAAGAACATTCTCTTGGAGGTGGGTTTTGGACCAATGTTAATTGTATCAGGTTGGTTGAAGTGTATTTTTAGGCCCTCCTTTTCCTTACTGATTTTGTATCTACTTCTTCCATCAATTTCTGAGAAAGGAGTGTTGGAACTGCTGAACAAAATGGGAACATTTTCTATTTTCTCTTTTTAGCTAAAATAATATTTATTTGATTTATTTACATGCTCTAGCATCACCATGGAAAACAAACAAGAGTGGCTCCAATCTCTTACTATGAGACAGTCTTGTCAAAGGTGAAATTCTAACCAAACTTCTAGTTTTAACTTCTGAAGTGAAGAAAAAAAAAAAAGGAAAGAGAGAAACCATCATAAAATACAACACATTTTTATGTATTATATTGCCCAATACATTTTTATAATAAGATTATTAAGTACAATTATGATACTGTGGTTATGACAAGAAAGGGTTTTTTGCTTTAATTTTTATTTATTGTTATTCAGCACTTGGAGTAGATAAGCACTAGTTCTAAACAGAGACAAAGAGTGCAATGTTCCCATATGAAATGACACTATCCCTCATTTCTTAAAATTATCCTGACAGTAAGGAACTGGGTAGGGACAGAGCCTACATGCTGGCATTGCTGAGTTTTCGATTAGCAATAATCGAGCCTAGGATAGACCTCACTGGCTACGATACTGCCACTGCGCAAAGCTTGGTACTGCTGAGAGTGGGCGAGGATTATTTAATCCATACTTTTAAGATGTTCTAGATAGTTTTTGTATTTATTTTTGTAATAATCTAATAAAATTCTCAAAAAGAAAGATTTGCTTTCTGATACAGTCAAAGTAAAGAAAATGGTCACAAAATTGGAAGAAACTCGTTACATTATTTTACTTGTGATTTCGTCATTAGAGAAGAAGGAAAAATGAAAAGGAATGAGAAGGTGAAGGAGTCATTCTCCACCTCTAGGAAGTGCTTCAGTTAATCCCAGGGCTTGGGAGGCTGAAACACAGGAAGGACCACTATGAGTCTGATCTGTGTAGTGAGCCCCCGTAGACTCTGTACTAAAAATACATAAAATAATAATAATAATAATAATAATAATAATAAGAGTAAGAGTATAAAGTAACCGTGAGCAGAAGTCTGCTACTTGTCCTTAGAGATGGGCCTCTTAGTGGGGAGAGAGGTCTCAGGAGGTGGAAGGGGTATAACTAAGTTGAAGGGTGTGAAAAAAGAATTGTGTATGTAATGAGAAAATAAATAAAGAATTGTGTTACCATGTGAAATGCATGGCACCATGTCCTAAAAGGTATATATTCTGGGGCAGTAAAAATATCATACCTGGACTATTTTGATTGTCAATATTTTCTATCAAGCATATGTACTGTTTCCATAGCAACAAATGGTACTTGCTTGAGGTCACATTGCTAATTTTAGAGAAGCAGTGAAAGCAATTCAGAGCAAAGACTGGAAACCACAGATTAAAGACATCCCCTAGACATGCGCATAAGGAGAAGACCAAGGGGCAGGATTAAAAGTGGAAATAATAACCCACATGCTGGGATGCTATGAGATTCTCCTGTTTGCCTCGATTATTTTAAGTACTGATCTTTCCTACTTTTTTTGCAGCCTTTTCCCCATCCTTCATATTATTCTTCTTCTATCAAAATGAAAATAAAATACATTCCCAGATTTTAAAAATAAAATGTTTTCAAGAAAACAAAGAGTAAAAATGTGAAATAAAACTCCAAATCCTGGGGCTGGCAAGATAGCTCAGTGGACTAAAGCGCCTGCTTCAGCAACCTTAGGTAAGAGCATGGGCTGCGTTCAATCCCCGGCACCACATGCTGCTGCACCAGCTCCACCCCTCAGGTGGGCTGAGCCAGCCAGAGTCTAGGTGTAGTGGTACACGCTTGTAATCCCAGCCCTGGTGAGGCTGAAAACAAGAGGATCACTATGAGTTTGAGCTATGGTAGTGAGACACTGGAACAAACAAGTATGTTTTAAAAAATTCAAATTCCTCTTCAGCAAATTAATATATCAAACAGAAGCTTTTCTTTGCAGCTATATTTCATGAAGCCTATCAAGTTTGTATCTATCAATTGGTATGGCTAGTTTCCAGCTCCTCCATGACAATCTTAATTATCAATTTTACCCAACATTGTCTTATTCATACATCACCTTCTAATTTGTGTGTGTGTGCACATGTGTGTGTAGTGCTAGGATGGAGCCAAGAGCCTTGCTTCCAGTAGCCAAGCGCTGCACTGCCGAGCTACACTCCCAGCCTCCACCCCAATTACACTTAAGCAATAAGCTATTAGTTCCTGCTATCCCTCATTTTCAATATGAAAGAGAACTGGTTGCAGGACCAGCACTATACTCAGAAAAATGTTACTCGTCTTCACATAATAAATTCAAATTTGAGACATAGCAATGATTTATACAAATTGTCCTTTTCTCTTCCCTCCCTATTCCCAGACCTCAACTTTCTAGAATACATTTATTGTTCCAGTGACATACAACACTAGCAACAAACAGCATTTCTGAAAACTTGAGGAGGATGGACCCCAAAATTTCTACTCCAACTCCTGTTTGTCAGCTTTTCTACAAGCTACATTGGCTTAGGGTCAGTACATTGCTATTTTTCCTTACTGTGATAGCATATAGGCGTGGTATTTGCCCCTCTGAAAGGAAGACCTAGGGCAGTGATGGTGAGCCTTTAGTGATGAGTGCCCAAACTACAACCCCAGGTCCATCTGTCTATTGCAAAGGGCCAACATTGCAACTAAATCTGAACAGTGAAGTGTTGGTTTAGGAAAAACAACTCGGACCAATGCTTGGAGGCTGGACTGCTGCTGGAGGAACCTGGGTGCTGGGGCTCCGTGCGTGTGTGTCAGCGTCTGACCAGCACTGACCTAGGAATAGCCGATGCTGTGGACTTAGAGGAGAGCTCTGCCAGTAAGACTTTCTTCTCAGGACAGTTCATCATGGGTAGAATGAGTCACAGTACATATGTACCTAGAAGAGGTTTCCAGCTATGATAGAAGCTACAGGGCATCAGAGACGTGTGCCTAGGAGAATTTGTCCCTATGCTTTATTAACATTGGGAAGGGTATAGTACATAGAATAGAAAGGAAGGGTTTTCCCAAAGTAGAGCAATGTTTTAGGACTGTGAATCACTATATGATCACTTGAATTTATAATTCTCTATAACTACATAAGCATAGCTGAGCATTTCAGTGTTTTAAACTTAGTATAAATCCTAATGAATGATAAATGCACTCAGTGTCTACCTTAAATCTCAATTTAAAAAACTTGGAGAAAAATTACATTGAAGAAAATAAAGCAGTTACTAAAAACAATTTTTTCCTGGCTCCACAAAATATTCAAGGAAATAATTTTTCTAAATTTCCAAACATACTTCAGTGTAAACCTTCAGGAGCTATTTCTCCAAGAGTCTATGTATACATAGATTTTTCCTTATTGAACCCCTCAAAGATGATAAATGATTCAAAATGTATACTTTGTCAGAACTTGGAAGATGAACAAACAGAAGACCAATGAGATCCAGGTATTGCCCCTTCTATCATGCAATCTTACCTAAAATAAATGGAGAAATTGCATTCCAGCTCTCATGCAAAAAAAAATCTATGATGCTGCTGATATCTCTGAAGCTCTACTGAGAACAACAGAGACAGGAAGGCTTCATGCAACAGAAGCCAGCCCAAGGCGCAAACCCCTTGCCTCCCCGGGGGTACATCCTGTCTGAAATGCACTCCCCTGAGAAAGTGAGACACATTACAGAATCTTTTTTTATGAGCAGAATATATTTATTGAGGGAAAGAAAGCTCCTGTCTGAGAGAAGGACAGGAGGGGGGCCTGAGTGGGTAGTCCCCAGGAAGCTGTCTCTTCCAGGGACTTTTATAGAGGAAAACCATGCAGTGAGGCAGGTCTAAGGTAGTGGAGAAGACATGAGAACTCACTTAGGTGGGCGTGAGGTGGGACATAATGATGGTCAGCATCTTTTCTAAAACCCAATTTAACTTTGAATTCTATGTGATCAACTCTTTCCATTCCTTGTTTTTAGATAAAATGTAAAAAGTATCAGCACAGAGTTAACATACCTATAATATTCAAATAACGGAACTTAACAAAAAAAGGGTATACAGATGAATGTCCATTTTGTATCTGTGTATTCAAAGTGGTTAGGATAGATATATAGTTACATTCTCTTAATGAATAGAATGATTTGCTCTAATGGTGTTTGTAAATAGGATCTCAAGTCTGCATCTTGTATAGCAATTAACCACTAAGAAGAATGTATGCAGTGTGTTAGTTATTGAAACTGTCCTAGCGATTTGATTTGAAACTGTCTCATTGCTATTTGTTTATCAGTAAAATTATGGAAAAAAAGAAAAAAGTATCAGCACAAATTTTCTATTTATGTACATAGTTTTCTTAAATGAGAATACTGATATTAATAGCATAAGAGTGAATGCTTTTTCAATTTTACATTTTAGGCTTAAAAATGGCAAATTGTCTCATCAATGGACAAACCAAATACAATGTTTAGGTTCTAGTCAGTTAAATGCCCCATTTAATACACACACACACACACACACACACACACACACGGTACTGTTTCTTTTTATAGCATTTACTAAGGACCACACTTCCGACTGCTTTGTCCACTGCACATCCATGATACCTAATGGATACACTCATCACGTGGAGATGGTCCATGTGCATGGCACACCTCGATTCTTGTACGTTTCCTGTTCCCCAGGATCACCCGTCCCCCTCCGCTTTGTTAAAGATCTACCTTCTGTTTCCTGACACTTCTGACTCACAAGGCTGAAGATGACAAGGAGGCATCCAGCCAGTGGCGTATTTCCTTCTTCATCCACTTCCCTCTCTTCTCTCCTCCTTCCCTCCATCTCTGGTCTCTCCAGCTGAGAAAGATTTATCTTCTGATTTTCTGTTATCTACCCTTTACTTTGCTCTTTATTTATATTTTGGCTTTCTCATAGAAGAGAAGCTGTGCAATATTTAAGGCTGTGTTTGATTTCATTCACTTAATACTCTGGTCTCGAGATGCATCCATTTTCCTACAAATGACTCGAATGTCTCTATGGAAGAGCAGTGCTCCATAAATACATTTTCATTATCTATTCATCTGCGGGTGGACACACAAGCTGCTCCCAAGGTTTAGCTCTTATGAGTTGTGCTGCTATAAGCACAGGTGTCATGGAATGACTTTAACTCTCTCAGGGAGATACCTACAAGAGGCAGAGCTGGGTCCAATGGAATCTGGTTTTAGTTTGTTGAGGACTCTCCACACTGATTTCCAGAGTGGTTACACTAGTTTACATCCCTTCCAGCAATGTAGAAGGGCTGTTATACTCTTGGATTTCACATTCCATTCTGTTGTCCAGAGATTCATTTCTTCTTACTGTCCATGGATAGGAGTGTTTCTTAAAAGGCTCACCTTTTACAATATTCTTTCTAAACTGTTCTTATGGGAGCTCACTTACTTCTAGGGCTCAAACTCAATACAGTGGCACCTCAGTTCACAAACTTGGTTCATCTCATAGTTCTGAAAAGACAGCCATGTGTGTTCCTGCAGGAAAGAGGGCCCCAAAGTCATGCTCATCATCAGATGCAGTTTGCAAACAAAAGCCACCTCTGCCAAATGCTTCTGGTTGGGAGTCAA